TAGAAATGGTTGTGAACCACCTCACTGGGCCACCTCTCCAGCCATATATATATATTTTATGATGATCTTTAACCAGGAATCTAACAGTTGTTCACAAACTATTCTATAGATCTTATTTAAACTTAACAGATTGAGCCATCGTACTTACTAGACGATTCTAGAATTCTATTCAGGATCATATTTTATGTACTTCATTTACTATCCTTAAATTGGACCAATTTTTCAATCTGTCTTTGGTGCTTTGGCGCGGGGGCCCCCCCCCGTTGTTTTGCAGGTTGTTCCTGGATTTGGTTTGCATTTGTTGCTCGTTGTTTGGGACAGGAGTTGGTATTGCAGTCAGACTTGGAAGGCACGTGCTGATGTCCGGTTGCTGTGCTAATACTTTGATCTGTTTGTAAATTTTAAAAGTGTCCAATGCTTTCGGTTTGGGTTTTGGATTTTTTTAAGGATAAACTTTATGATTACTGTTGTATGTTCTAAGTGTTTTTTGCTTTAAGAAGGGGACGTGTTCTTGAATTTCAAGGAAATGTGAGGGCTAGGAATAGATTGGGAACATTTGGTGTATTAGAGACACGTTCTTGGGATCAAATGAGAAAGACAACATTAATATTGTAGTCAACAAGAAGATTGGAGTGCAGACTTGTCATAATTGTGACTTAGTGATAGTTGAAGCCAAACCTGGTTCACCTGCCCTGACAAGCTTTCCTGCCTCGTACTGTCTACCTCTGGCCTTTGCTGCTGTTCTCAGTCTAGAAAGTAATTTTCCTAGTATCATACAAGTGGAGTAGCTTAGTCTGCTGCATTGCTGCTGCTTGTGAAAATGTTCATTTGTGCTTACTCTGACACCCATCCTCTGTTGTCTTAATTGAGCATGTGGGTTTCCAGAGACATGGAATTTTCTCCTGGGAAAACATCCGTTAATCATCTGGCAGTGTCAGCCTCAGTTTCTGTTAATTTTTTAAAAGTTAAATGGTGAGCTTAGTTTATTTTAATAATTATTTGAGAAATAAGTCTTTACTCTGCCAATGTTGTAAAAATTGCTCCACTCAAGGTTGTTCTAAAGTCTCGTTTTTATTTAAATTAAGCTGCTGAAACTACACACTGTAATTCAGTCAAAATATAATATTGAGTGTCTTAGATGCAGACAGCATGGTAGGGTTGTTGAGTTTAGAGCCCATTGTTGTAACTGAGGTGGAGGCAAGATGGCTTGACTCCATGAGTTCCAGTCCCAGTGTGGACGGTGTCAGGGTTCTAGCTTAGAAAATAGTGAGTATGTGAGAAGTTAAATGATAATTGTACCTGCTCTGAGATGATGTGGAAACCCCAGCCTGCTGTTTTCTGTATTTTCTAGTTTATTTTGGGCTTGAGCCTTGGTGTATGTGTCGTGTTCTATAGTGTAACGTTGTCTGGTCCCTTGTTGCCAAGGAGAGTGTATTTCCGTGTTCTCCTTAAACTAAGACTTCTAGAAGTAGACACTGTAGGTAAAATTTAAGCACATATAAAATGAACTTGAGGAAGAATGTGGTGTTCATATTGAAGTGTCTTAGCACAGGTAACAGTTACCTGCCCTGAGGTGGACGGAAAAGCAGTTGCTGGATTTTTAAGATGAGCAGTGTAGCTCATGTTCTGTGTGTGCAGGCGCCTGTTAGTCATTTTTGCTGATGTAGTCTGTGTTGTCATGGCAGTGTAGGCAGTCACCGTTGCCCGCCTCTGTTTTATGTGGGTGGGTGTTTGGTCTGTATACATGTTTGTGCACCTTGGACACTCGTGGTATCTTTGAAGGGCAGACCAGGAAGGGTGCCAAATCCCTTGAAACTCAAATTACAGATAACTAAGCCACCGTGTGGGTGCTGGGAACTGCTATTTTGACACCAACTTTTGCTGTCTAAGAAAATACCCGCTTACCAGACAGCAGAGCAAGGAGGGAACATCCCAGGGCCATGGTCGTTTTCTGTGAGGAGTGAGAAATGCAGGCATCTGTCCGTGTGTGCAGACTCCAGGCCCCAGTGCCTGCTGCTGTCCGTTGTGAATTGTAGGTGTCTCTCAGATGTTTGGTTATGTCTGAAAAAGACGGGTGCAACTTGTGCATCAGACTAGCTGCTCTTGCCCGTGGGACAGACGGCGAGCTGTGGTTATTCAGATGGGTGTTTGGTAGGCACTGACAGTTAATGCAGTGAGTCAGTCCATCACTTCAAGGAAGACACTGTTGTTATGGTGATAAATGAGAACCAGGGAAACTAATCTTGTGTTTCAACAATTCCTTAATGAGTGCAGAATGGTTTGGAGACATAAACGTGAACTGCAGATACTCAGGCTTCACTATAGCATACGTCCCTGTGCCTTTGCGGTTACGCCACCCACCTTTGAAGTCAGGTCTCATTACTCTGATTGATTGTGCATTGTATGCGAGCAAAGTTTAGATCACATTGTGTTTCATAGAAGTTTCTCTGTGTGTGCGTGCTTTCAAAAACCGAACTGCCTGCTTTGCTGCTTTTAAACATCCCTTTATCCTTCGTTCTTACCCTTACCCACCTACAGTTGTCTTTGTTGTAGCTCCCTTGAGTGGTTGTCATTGTTTTTGTCAGTTTGATAATTGCTTGCCTCTTGTGTTAACCTCATGTTAACAGAGTGTTGGCAATCAGGGTTTAGATTTGAAAACGACTATGTTGGCTTTTAATCTCAAAAACCCCAAGTTATCCTTTTGAATTCTGGAGGAGGACTCACTGTCCACCCAGTCCTTGTTCACTAGTCTGCTTATACGAGATTGTCCTCATAGGGAATTTAGCTGGTCTCTTCGGGTGATGACAGGGAAGGAATGTTTCCTGTAGCCCAGGCTGCCTCCATCAGACCACCTCAGCTCAGGTGCTTTCCATTTAATGAAGCTGCCCTGTTGATGGTGCCCTGTTAACCCCCAGTCCCTCAGCGCCTGGCTTGTTATGGCTGTAGTCTAGATTTGATCATGCCAAGTACAGTGCGATTCTGAACTTTGGCTCCTAGTTGTGTTGGTGTATCTTGGAATTGTGTTCTCCTTTTCAGTGGACAAAGCACACTGTTGAGGCAGAGGAAACACATCATGGTAGTGCTTGGACTTATGGTAACAGTCGTAGTTTGTACCTAATAGATAGCGTGACAAATTAGCATTAGAGTCCCTGTCTCATCGATTGCTCTGTGGACTGTTAGAGCTGGTTTCCTAATCCTTAGAACTCTGACTTGTCTGGCCAGTTCATCACGTGGTGTTGGCTGTGGCAGGAATACTCACGGACTCCAAAGCCATGTGTATCCAGGTAGCTGAGTGCCAGTCCACAGTCATAGGTGCCAACTCCTGTTGCTTCAAAGCCATTCAGCAAATCTACTCTGCACTCAAAGAAATAGGAGGGAAATTTTTACCTCACTTTAGGAATGACAGAGGATTGGTGCAGGCCAACTTTGAAGAAAGGATACTACAGTAATTTGCAACATTATGAGCCAAAACTCTTGTAGATTTAATGTATGCCATTATGCTGTTGGGAGGTTTGTACTGAACGTGTTAGGGTCAGCGTTCTGTCCTTTGCTCACGCTTGGTCCTTCAGCCTTGATAGTTCCTCCAGTGTTGACTGGGAAGTAGTGCTTAGCTGTTGCTGTGATTCCCAGGAAGTTGTGAGGGTGCAGAAGTACTAAGGAAGTGGGGCTGCTGACTCCTGCTGACATTGCCAGCACTGTGCTCTGGGTTTTTATATTGCACCCTCCACACGCTAGGGACTGCGTCCATGGCTATGCTAGGCAAGTGCAAGCTGCACTGAGATGTATCTCCAAACCTTTGGGTGGTTTGTTTTTATTTGGGGAATGAGACTTTTTGAGGTCATGTGTGTAACCCTAATCTCTGTTTGAACTCAGAATTCTCCTGTGTTGCCCTTAGGTGTTGGGATCACAGGGTTCCTGTGCTGGCTGCCAAACTTAACGTCATAAAGAATTGAGCCACTCTTAAATTACTGTATCTTTTTGTTTGTTTGTTTGGTTTTCCCTAGTAGACAGGGTTTCTCTGTATACCCTTGGCTATCCTGGAACTCCCTATGTAGACCAGGCTGGCCTCAAATTTACAGAGATCTGCCTGCCTCTACCTCCTGAGTGCTGGGATTAAAGATGTGTGCCACCAGCGCCCAGCTAAATTACTGTTTCTTTTTATTCTTTTATTTTTTTAAGATTTATTTGTTTGTTTGTTTATTTATGCATATAGCATTCTGCCTCCATGTGTGCCTGCACGCCAGAAGAGGGTGCCAGATCTCATTACAGATGGTTGTGAGCCACCATGTGGTTGCTGGGAATTGAACTCAGGACCTCTGGAAGAGCAGTCAGTGCTCTTAACCACTGAGCCATCTCCAGCCCCCAATTACTGTTTCTTTATGACCTTTATCTCTGTACACACAGAACGAGCAGCAAGGTTAAAGTTGGCTCACTCACCTGCATTGTTGGAACATCAATGTTCAGATAGTTGAGTCTTTTTCAGAGATTAGAAACCAGAATTTAGGTACCGCTTCTCCCTAGAAGAGTTGGTTTTTTGGGGTTCAGCCAGATGAAAATGGACTTCACTTTGATTTTCAAAGTAATAGTTACTAAAAGGAAGTTGGTGTGGTGAGAATCCGCTTTAAACCAGCCATATACCTGGTGTGTGTCAGTCGCAGTAAGCTTTAAATGGGTAATGATTTTAAGCAAAAGTACAGAATGAAATCTGTGTCCTGGAGGTTTATCATGTGTGGTGATCTGTAGACCAACAATGGCTGTGGTAGAATTAGTCTTTTTACATCTGTAGCCTTTTCACTGCCTTGATTTGGTCACTAATTATACCTGAGACGGTCTCGGTTTGGGGTCCAGGTGCCTCATGGCAATCCTCCTTGTCCCTTGCTGGTGGTGGCAAGGGTTATCTTAGTCTATAGTGTTTGATTAAGAAATATTCTTAACTTTGCTTTGTAAATGTCATCTTCTTATTATTTCTGGTTTTGTTTTGTTTTTTTCTACTTCTGAAGTCTCTTTTGGAAAAGTTCTTGATCCCCAATGCTTCGCAAGCAGAAAGCAAAGTCTTCTATTTGAAGATGAAGGGCGACTACTACCGTTACCTGGCTGAGGTTGCTGCTGGCGATGACAAGAAAGGTAACTGGCTGTGTGGACCCTGCCCTGGGAAGTCCACCTTCTTTCTCCCTGAGATAGTATTGTGTAGAGCTCGTTCCTTCTGCTCTGGCTTCTGCCTACCTTGGTATTTTATACTTGGTGTTTCCAGAGCGGACGTGAGGAATCAGAATTTCTCAGAGCAGTGAGGAAATCCTAGAAGTGCAACATAGTGAGATTTCATCATCCCTCAGTATGAGTACTTAATGGGTGTATGGGTGTTTGCTTAATGTGTGTGCAGTGCTGTTGATGGTCAGAGCAGTGCAATCCCATTCCCTGGGACTGAAGTTACAGACAGTTGGGAGCTGTCATTAGGGTGCTGGGAATTGAACCCAGGTCCACTGGAAGAGCAGTCACTGCTCTTAATCTCGGAGTCATCAAATTGCTTTTCTCTCAACAACAGTAGCCAGTGGCTAGTATGATTTAGGATACCATTTTGATTTGTTGTTTTAAATTAAATATTTGCTTAAGGTTGTTAGATTTCATCTTTCAGGGGGCACGTAGGATATTAAATGAATGGTTTGGCTGAGGTGAAGCTGGAGCCTGGCTGTTGAGAGTGCATTTTACTGTTTGATTTCCCAGGAATTGTGGACCAGTCACAGCAAGCATACCAAGAAGCGTTTGAAATCAGCAAAAAGGAAATGCAGCCAACACACCCTATCAGACTGGGTCTGGCCCTTAACTTCTCTGTCTTCTATTATGAGATCCTGAACTCCCCAGAGAAAGCCTGCTCACTCGCAAAAACAGTACGTAGTTCACCTGTTAGATGGAAGGAGATGGCGCTGTCTTCGTGGCTTGGTTACTGACACACTTTGTTGTTGCAATTGCAGGCTTTTGATGAAGCCATTGCTGAACTTGATACATTAAGTGAAGAGTCCTACAAAGACAGCACGCTAATAATGCAGTTACTGAGAGACAACTTGACAGTGAGTACCTGGTGGCACTCGGAAACACAACCCTTTAAAATTACTAGATACAGTGTCCTTTAGCACCATATTATGAGGAAGACTACCTTACTGAAGACACATTACTGGTATTTTGAGTATGTCCTTTGGACTTGTATTCCATTTCAAGCTTTGAGTATTTTCTTTTTCATGCCAGAGTTGTGTGCTTAATCAACACAAGTAAAACTGGATCCAGGGTTCTTGGGGTGAAGAAATAAGGATTGTAAGTTGCAGGCTAGCCTGGACTACATAATAACCACCTGCTTGGGCTACAAAGCAGGATTTTGTCTCAAAAACAAGTTGGATTTCTTTCCTTCCATTCTCATGTTTTTGTGTGACTGTGGCTGGTTTACACAGCAGGAGCTGGGAAGCTTAGGTTCTTTACCCTAGCTTCCCAAGCTCTTCCTGGGGAAGGCTGGAATGGCTGCATCCTGTGAAGGTCTGAAGATGAGCCCCGGCCACTATCTCACCCAAAACAGAAACTAACAATCTTTAATGCAAATTGAGAATTTATTTCCGTGGTTTTTATTATTTAAATTGGCGTTCAAATAAAGCCTGTGCCTTACATTTGACTTCTTAGGTTTTCCCTTCAGATAGTATTACATTTGAAGTTTCGAGGCTTGGGTGTGTGTCAGAGAAAGGGTAGAAATGGGTGTGTATAGCGTAGTGCTTGTCTAGAGACGTGCCCCGCCTTCTGTTTGGCTCACTTCCTGCTCCAGTCTGCTGCCCGATGGCTAAACTTCGTAAATGCAGTTGGGGTTGTCTACAAAATTAAGAGACATAAATAAAGAAATAAGGGCCAGTGTAGCCTTGAGGACTTGCTCTGTGTGCTGGAGGTAGAATTTAGGACCTTGTGCATCCTGGGAAAATGATTTACCACTGAGCTGTTCCCCCAGCCCAAATGTAAGAAAATATGTGAAATAATGAATCATTTGATTCATTCACTGATTTTTAATAATAAGAATGTTTGGGGGGTGGAGATGGAGCTCCTTGGAGAGTGTGTGGCCCTGAATTTAATCATCAGTACTGTTCAAAGTTTTTCTTCTCCTTGCCAAGCATCAGTGGGAGGCTGAGGCAGGAGAAACACAAATGCTAGGCCAGTCTGAGCAGCATGTAAGATCAAGTGTCAGGTTTTCTTACTTTGAAGTGGGAAGGTGGTATTTAAAGTCGACCTTATGTCTGGTTGTGGGGAGCTCCTGACCTAACACTTTGGTCCATTGAAGCTGCTGTGAGTGCAGCAGCGTGCGCTTCAGGTGATTGGTCAACCGCCGCTGCGAGAAGTGCACTTCATCCTGAGGTTTCTTGCCCGTCTCCTATCACAGCCTTTACGGAAACAATGAAAACCATTGCCTTTAGAGTGTTGGGTTTTTTAAAAACCTTTTAGTAATTGGGGATTTACATTTGTTTTTCTCTTTTTGAGATTGTGGGGCGAGGAGACAACTTCACTCTAGGTTGTTGGGATTGGCATGCACTGTGGTTGAGGAACTAAGATGAGATTTCCTCTTGCTCTTGGTGAATAGCCGCTAGTCAAGACAGGCACTGTGAGTCCGCAGTAAAGCCTGGCCACATGCCAGGACCGTGGCAGGTGTGCGGGAAAGGTTTTGTTTTGTTTTGTTTTGTTGTGTGGTTTTGTTTCTCCTTTTTTGATCTGAAGCATGCTGAAACCTTCTTTCCCTCTCTTACCAGTTGTGGACATCGGACACCCAAGGAGACGAAGCAGAAGCAGGAGAAGGAGGGGAAAATTAACCGGCCTTCCACCCTCTGTCTGCCTCGTTCTGAAATTTACACAGTAGACCGTTTGTCACCCATGCTGTCCCACAGATAGTTTTTTGTTTACGATTTACGACAGGTTTATGTTACTTCTATTTGAATTTCTATATTTCCCATGTGGTTTTTATGTTTTAATATTAGGGGAGTAGAGCCAGTTAGCTTTAGGGAGTTACTCGTTTTCATCCTGAGGTGGCCAATGTGGGGCTGTGGACTTTTTACACGAGTTACACGTGTCTGGCATAGTACTTCTGGTACATTGTGGCTTCAGAAGGGCCAGTGTTAAAACTGCCTCCATGTCTAAGTAAAGAAAACTGCCTACATACTGGTTCGTTCTGGTGGGGAATAGAAGGGGTAATGGGTTCCAGTCCTGAGTGTAGTTGTTGTGGGTACTTTAAGGTTTAGAGCACTTGTGAGGCTGTGGTACAAACAAATATCCCTTGGACACACCTTGGGATCGTGTGTCTCAGCACGCGCACTCTTGACCACAGCTCCGGAAGTGGCTCCCAGACAACAGTGTGACCCAGCGTACTCTGATAAGGGCAGAAACGGTTCACATTCCATTATTTGTAAAGTTACCTGCTGTTTGCTTTCATTATTTTTGCTACACATTTCCTTTGTATTTAAATGTTTAGGCAATCTCAGAACAAATGTAACAGTGAAGCTGCAGTAATGAATTGCTCGTGTTGGCTGCTCCGTGCCCAAGAAGCACAGTGGTAGACAGATCCCATGTATTTAACTTTTTTTTAGTTTTTTGTTTTGTTTTTTGCTTTTGTGATTTTTTTTTCTTTTTTTGATACTTGCCTAACATGCATGTGCTGTAAAAATAGTTAGCAGGGAAGTGACTTGATGACGGCTTTGTTTTCATGTCTTAGGAGATTCTCATGAACAATCCAAGCATAATTGTTAAGAACACATGTATTAAAGTTCATGTAAGTGGAATAAAAGTTTTATGAATGGATTTTTCAACTACTTTTCTCTACAGCTTTTCATGTAAATTAGTCTTGGTTTTGAGACTTCTCTAAAGGAAATTGTCTCCTTGTTCCCTCTTGGCAGCTAATGGGCTTTAACCAATTTTGAGTACAAAATTTAGCAACAACCACAGAAACGCTACTGTAACTACCTTTCTCAACCATGTTCCCGTTCTCTTCCCCCTTCTTACTCCCTTTCAAAATTGAAGTGGACCTTTTATTTTTCTGGGTGCGGGGTGGGGGGGAGATTGATTGGCAAAGGTAATGTGTTCCATTTGAAACTTTGGTCTACGGCGTTTTCTAATTTAAGAAGCCACAATGTTCTTGGCCCATTGTGACACTGGGCAGCATTAACTGTTAAGTTCTGTGCTTCCAAATCGCTGTTGGTTTTAAGAATTTCTTGATGCTCTTGCAGCCTGCCTCTGGTGTCCAGCCCTTCATTTCTACTGTCAGGTGCACAGGATCACTTTTGATGGCCGTCTTGGCACCCACCATTCCGACTTGTTGGCCGTGTATTTGGGGAAAGGCCGCATGATCTCTCTGGCTCCACTCAGTGTCTAAGATACCCCGCTTCCTCTGCTTGCATCCCACAGCCTCCCCTCATCTTCTTCCTACAGCCCAGCTCTCCTTGGTTGAGCTTGTGTTTATCTTCCTGGAAACTCCACCCTGAATGGTCTGTCCCGTCTCCCTTTAAAGCCCTCCCTCTTCCTCTCCTCCAGTAATGATGGGGCTAAGTCACACCCAAAGCTCACACCTACCGAGTATTTTCCTCACTACTTTACAGAAAACACCAAACAAAAATGCCATTTTAAAAGAGGTGTATTTTTTTTTCTTTTAGAATGTAAGCTCCTCAAGAGCAGGGACAATGTTTTCTGTATGTTCTATTGTGCCTAGTACACTGTAAATGCTCAATAAATATTGATGATGGGAGGCAGTGAGTCTCGATGATGAGGGTGAGAAAAATCCCAAGCACTGTTCTATGGCTTATTTCATCTGATCTGGTTACATTTGGAAATACCAACCCTTTTGGACAAATTATCCCAAATACTGCATTTGAATGAAAGTGCAGTGGGGGTGTGGGGGGGTTCTCAAGAGAAACAAACCACATGCATTGTGGTCCCAGATGCATCTTCAGCCACAACCCATTGACTTTGAGTTTGCCTTTGCTCCCAGCCCAAGGAGAATTAAGCTATGGACAGCAGGATGTCATCTCATTCCAGTAAATTACAAATGACCCCGAAACCTGTCACATTTGCCTATTGGCTCTCGTATGCATTAGACATTGCTAAACTAGTTTGATTCTGAAATTGTGATACTTAACCTGCTACTAGTTATTGATGTTTTTTATGAATAGTGCCCAATAGATGAAGAAAGATTTGCAACCTCAAATTTTCCACCCCTTGGAATTTGAATAATAAATTTGTTTTTAACTTATTTCCCTAATTGTCCCAAATCAAGGCTTCATGTCTGTTTTGTTAATGTAACATAAAGCCAGGAAATTGTTTGAACTGAGCAGTGTTTTAGTGTTTTGTATGTGTGTGGTGCCAGAATTATACCTTTGGAAACATGAGTTGTGCTGTTTGAAGGGGAACAGCAGGTCTGGGCTGCGGCAAAAGGAAGTTTGACCTCTGGCCTTTGCAGTTGGCTGCTCTTTCTTCCTCATGCTGCCAAGAAGGGGAGCTAAGGGGTAAGAAAACGAAGGGGAGACTAGGCCAAGTACTTGTCTCACAAAGTAGTTAAAGCTTGCTGTCTTAGCCCTCCAGCTGGACAGGGAGAGCTCTGAAGGCTGACCCGAGGATTAAGTGGCAGGAACGTCCTATGAGTGTGGAATAGTGTGTGGGTTCAGCAGCTGCCTTAGCCGGGGACCCACACTTGGGTGTGGGAAGTGTGGTTTAGCACAGGTGCAGGCTGGTCTGAAGAACATGACTGCCACCTCCCCTGATCTTTGCGCCGTAGTCTAAGATCTGTCGCCGGGAAGTGACTCAGAATGGCGTAGCCGGAACTGTTGAGGGCTGGAGGAGCCAGCTGTTGGGAAGGCTGATCCTGTCGGTCCCTCACTGCCTGACCCAGCGTACTGGAGCAGCTAATATGGTACAGCTAATTGAGTATATTCATACCTCACCTTCGGTGATACCGGAGACAAATGCTTTACAGTTGAGTCAGTGTCCCCGTCAGGTACTCCAGCAGGCGTTGGCGGGGACCAGCTGTAGCTGGTGGTCAGCAGTGCCAGGCTTGTGTCGGCGTTAATGCTAGTGGAGTGGATGGACAAGAATTGCTGTTGATGGCTCAGGTAATAAAGGTGCTTTAGACTGAGGAATCCATCTTAAATACCCATTCTCTGCACTTGTTTTCAGTGATTTCTGTTTTTCTATGAGAGCCCAGGAATAGGTATTTTTAGCAAAACTTGTGGATAGTAATGTCAGAGTAGCAGAAGTCTGCAGGCAGAGAGGGAGTGCAGCTGATGTTGGGGGAAATGTGGGTTTACTGAGCTAAAGGAAGGCTAATAAGTCCACAGAGAATACAGTCCATAAAGGAGATTGTAAACCTGCTTAGCAGATTGTGTCTCCCCAAAAGGTAATGCTAAAAGTTATCAAGGTATGTTCCTCACATCAGTGTCCCCAGATGACTCCGGGGACATCGCTCGTACTGCGCCAGACTGACAGTGGTTACACAAGGTCTGGGGAACCTGACAGCAGTGCCGTGTCACAAGGGACGGGCAGACGGGGTGCTGGGCACATGGTGATTCCAATCCTAACGCCACAGCCGATGGGATTACCTGCACAACAGTCCCATGGGCTGCTCGTGGGGTGGGGTTCATACCCCACCGCTGGTGATAGTGGCTGGGGCAGAAGTAGGTTTCCTCAATGGTGCAGTCACTAGTCACTAGAGCCTAACTCTCCTGTCCGTGCTTATTCAGCCAATCCTAACTAAACTCAGTTGCACATAAAGACATGAGCCTGAGAAGTGGGACTAGTTAAAAAGGAGAGGTTCAATGGCAGAGGGAGGGCATAAGAGTTGTTAGTGAATTTAATCAAAATACGTTGTCCACATGTATGGAATAAAGTTTAAAGTTGTAGGAGACCAGCTTGCTGACCTGGATGTGTAACAGAAGCTTTGGAAAACAGGTGTTAGCTAGAACTACTTTTTGGCTTAACAGCAACACACCTTCAAGTACATAAAAAGGTTTCTAGAAATGGAAATAAAGATAACAAGATTCACATGAGTATACGTTAGTGTGTGTATACTTTAGGGTTGAGTGTGTAAGATGCGTTCAGTGAAGGAGAGGCCTGGCATCCCAGCACCCTGGAAGCTAAAACAGGAGATTTTGAGTCTGAGAACAGCCTGTCTTATCGTTTGTATAAACAGGGAAAAAAATGTTTTGCTCTTATTTTAAAGAACAAAAAGGCATATACATTTAGAACACTCCAACCCAGGAACCCCTGGTTGGTCTGCCTCCGAGAAACCTGGTGTGTGCGCATGAGAAGCCAGAGAACCAGCCATGTTCACCTTCACAGCTACTGTGACTGACTTTGCAAAAGTCCCTAGACATCCAAATGCCTGTTGAAAGATAGAATTGCTCTGATAATCTTCAGTGGGGAGCAGGAATCAACCGTAACCTCTGAGGCTGGAGAGGTAGCTAGCTCAGCAGCTAATGGCTCATACGGCCTGGACCTCCAGTCCCAGGACAGCAACCTTTGGTATCCCCTGGCACCTGTACTCTCACATACACAAACATGATTAAAAATAAAATTAGCCAAGTGGTGATGGCATACGCCCTTAATTGCAACACTCTGGAGGCAGAGGCAGGTGGATCTCGAGTTTTGAGTTGGAGGCCAATCTGGTCTACAGAGCAAGTTCCTGGACAGCCAGGCTACACAGAAAAACTCAGTCTTGAAAAACCATAGAAAAATCATAATAAATCTCTCTCTCTCTCTCTCTCTCTCTCTCTCTCTCTCTCTCTCTCTCTCTCTCTCTCTCTCTCTCTCTCAACGGTGGTTTAAAACACTGGCTGGTTCTTCAGAGAGGACCCAGGTTAGAGTTCCAGGACCCACCGGGAAGCTCACAACTGTAACCTGGGTTTGAGGGTCTAACGCCCTCTTCTGGTGTCTGAGGGCACCAGGTACACTAGCGGTGCAGAGACAAACATGCAGGTAAAACACTCACTGTTTTTAACTAAAAGCTTCAGCTGACTATACATTATGAACCTTAGGAAATTTTAAATAAATAATTTATCCACGTATGTGTGATAAACCTGTTTCTTCCCTCCAGGACATGAAATGCAAGCATAGTGTTAATAGAGAATGCCATAGACAAGAGGCAGGGAACAGGCTAAGGCGAGAGTCACAGGTGGAGCAATCAGTAATGCTCCACAGTTGGGGCTGTGCTGGGAGCTTCCAGTTGCAAACCCAGTGATGATACACGGGTTATGATGAATGCAGGGTCAGGCATTGCCGTTTCCAGGAGGGAGGAAACGGAAGCTTGCGTGAGAGCTTAAAGATAGCATTGGAAGAGATAAAACGGGAGAAATAGTCACTGAGTCTGTTCAGGCAGGGAAATGAACACACAAAACTCAATGGAAGCAGAAAAACTGCCAAGCTGTGTCCCACTGTCCCTCTGGAGTGGAAAGTGTCCATCCATCTACAAGGTGAAGCAGGATGGTCCCTAAGGCCCTCTGGTGGTGTCGAGTGGGTTTCCTATCCCTCTGATCCCCGAGGAATTAGAGCACATTAGGAGGGCACTTGGATGAGTGAGTCCATCGTAAGGGTCTCCTTCTGAACCATTTGAGGAAGTGTTCGTTACAGATCACGGGTTTCTCCTATTGCACCATGGGGGGAGAGTACGACTTTTAACCTTTTCTTCCCCCTCAGCAGATTCTTCAAGCCATCTGTACTTAATGGAATTGGGATTTTATTTATTTATTTTTAAGTCTGGCTTGAAAGAGTTGAATACATTGTCTTTAATGGCTCCGAGCAGAGCAAAGAGTGGCAACGTTCTGTTGGCTTTATTTTTGCCCCGATCTGTAAGAGGTGTGCGGACAGTTTGGAAATGTTAGTCCGAAGGTCCGTAAAACGGGAAATGAAATTGATGAGAGGACGCTTTATAGTGGGGGACCCATCTCCCCACTACTGCTGTCTGCCCAGCGGCAAACGAGGAGAGGATGTGCACCTTACAAGGTGGTCTAGGACTAACCTGTGTAGCTCTGGGCCTCAGGCTGCTGGGAAGCTCTGAACACGGACAGACGGTCGTGCCCCTGGTGGAATCGTTACTAAGGCGCAGACCTTCCAGGGATGAGCTGACTAACCACGTGTGCCTGCTGGATAGGCTGAAATCAGGACAACTGACCCCTGTCTCAAAGGGGCTTAGTGTGAGCCGGCTGCTTGGATGGGGCCTCAGGGTCTGAGAGTTAGCAGGAGCCAGAGGTGGCTTCCGAATCAGTAAAAATCAGCGAACCTGTTGGGGAAAAAAGCTAAGAAGATGAGTTTAAAAACATCTGCCAGGGGCCCAGGGAGAATGCTCGGTGTGTGCGAGGCGCTTTCAGGAAGACGAGGATCTGAGTTCAGACCCTAGCGCTCCTGTAAAACAGTCCTAGACCTGGGAGACAGACACAGGAGGGTCCCTGGGGCCCATTGGCCGCCACTTCAGTGAAACGCCTTGTCTCCCATCTCAGTACTCACCAGGCCCAACCTAGCTGATTTCCAGGGCGACAGAGGAAGGACCCTCGGCAACCTCTGTGCTCCACATGCACACACACACACCTGTAACTCTCCAGTTCTTTTCGGATCCACGCAGATAAGTCTTGTTCTCACAGCAGCCGGAGGGTGACAGGTGAGGGAGGACCAGGATTGCTCAGGACCTAGACATGAAGCTTCTCACTGGAGAGGAGAGAGCTAGCTGTAACCCAAAAAGAGACTGGGGGCTAAAGGCATGACTGTTCGGAGTCCATGGCTTTGGCCCCACTTCTGTTGAAGTCTCTTGGCTGAGCAGGCAGAGAACTTGAACTGTCTACAAGATTACAGGTGGTCAAGATGGAAGAAGGCAGAGAAAACCAGAAAGCAACGATCTCTGGAAATACTGCCTTCCTGGCAATGGCTGCCTTAGGTAGGGACACTGGGCTGTGTGTCTAACTTAGTGATGCCACGCCACTAAGAAAACACATCCCCATTCCCTGCTCAATTGTTTCCCTGTTTTCTTTCAGAGGACCTTAAAGCAAAAAAACTAACCTCAAAGAACCTTGCTTTTCTTAGGAAGGAAAGTATTTAGTAACTTGGCTTTTTCCAAAGATTAATTCTCTTTAAAAAAAAATTACTTTGTGTATGTGTGTGTGGGGGGGGTTGTAAGCATGTGTAAGCATGTGCAAGCATGGGCTTCCGGTGAGTGTGCTAGAGAAGCACTCTGCAAGCGAGCTGCATCTCCGTGAACTCTCTCTCTCTGAA